TCTATTCTATTCTATTCTATTCTATTCTATTCTATTCTATTCTATTCTATTCTATTCTATCCTATCCTATCCTATCCTATCCTATTCTTCCATTCCATCTCATCTCATCCCATCTCATCCCATTCCATTCCATTCCATTCCATTCCACTATTCTATTCTGCTCTGTTCTACTCTACTCCACTCCATTCCACTCCACTCTACTCTACAAAAGGACACTCCAATATTCATCTCCACTTAAACCTGCGAGGTCCTTCCTCATCACTCCAGAGATTCTGTTGAAGTGGTAAAATCACCCTTGCAACCTGTAGGCTGTTGTTCTTCCCCAGTGTCCTTTTTTTCTCCGGGCTCCTGAAAAATGTACTTTGTGTGTGTGTGTGTGTGTGGAGAGGTTTTGGTCACTTGAGTTTTTTTCAAAATCTTTTACAACATTTAAAACGCCCACTCACCCCTATAAACTAAGCATCCAGTTGTTTTGCTTAATCTCATCGATTGCTGATGTGTCTTTCTTCCCATCTTTGATCAAGTTTGAAGAGAAAGGCTGGGGCATTTTTCTTATTTGACCCAAAGACCATCTGGTCTAGGGGGGGAGTGTGTGTGTGTGTGTGTGTGTGTTCTCTAGCAAGAGGACACAAGGACTTCGAAGGAACAAGAAATAATGCCTCTTTGGGGATTGCTTGTAGAGGGAAGGAATAGCTTGTAACATATGGCTTCCTTTTACCGGCCAATCTCAGCCTTTTGGGGTAAACCAAACCAGGAAATTGACTCCACAGGAAGAGGAGAACTCTTATTTTACTACTAAGATAGAATACAAGTTGTCCTCGAATTACAACCACAATGGAGACCAGAATTTCTGTTGCTATGTGAAACATTTGCAAAGGGAGTTTCGCTCCATTTTACAACTCTTCCGGCCACATCTGTGTCAGCGTTCCAACGAAACTCCATTCCACCCAATAACTCCAAGACAAGACATCTCTCAAAAGTTCTTTTTTTATTTTGGATAGTAAACCGGCACAACTGTGGAATCCTCAATCTGAAAGTTGCGGGCTTCCTTGTGTTGGAAGGAATATCCTTCTGGGTTCAGTTCCAAGTGGGGAAAAGACACTGGAAACATGGAGGCTGTTTGGAAGGTTTAATGGTGGACAGGACCACATGGCCTGGAGCTCCAGAATTGAAAAGGGAGGATCATCACGTGCTTAGAGATGAAGGAAAAGATCAAAAAAGGCTGAGGTGCTGAGAGTGCCTGGGTTTTATAACCTTTGTTGGGATTTGAATTGGAGCTTGTATTCTGATTGGTTGTCAGACTCCCATGAGGCCATGCAGGAGCAACTGTGTAGGCTGTCCTGAGTCCCAGGCTTGGTTGAGCCTTGCTGGATGATGATGCACTGAAAAGGGCTTTTGGCAATTGCTATAGATTTACCTGGAGATCTTTGTTGTGTAAAGTATTCTGGCCCGGGCTTTAATGGCCCACCCATTAACAAAGGTGGGGGTGAGTTTCCCCTTCTGAGGTGAGTTTCTGCTCTTGAGTTTCTACTCTTTTTAGGGGAAATATTCTGCCTTTTTAATATTTACTAGGATGTTTCAATTTTCTAGGAGGGGTGTGGGTGCTAACTTCCTACACTTACAATAAGTAAAAACTACAAATCCCCTCCCCTGCACCCATCATCACATCACATGCCCCAATCACCATCCGAACTTGAGACTTCCCCTCACTTATGTGCAGAAATAACATGACTTTGACTTACAAAAAAAAGGTTATTATGTCTAACTACATACACTCCAAGAAATTCCCCCTCCCACTTTCCCAGGTCCAATTGTGGCAGCGTGGGAGCATCGGATCTCAATATGGCTTCCAAAGCTGACAATCTGTTAAATTATGGGGGATCCATCACTGGGAGTTTTTAAGTAGAGTTTGGACAGCCATTTGTCCAAAATTGTACAGGATCTCTGCTTGAGCAGGGGGTTGGACTAGAAGACCTCCAAGGTTGCAAAAGGTGACCACATGACCCTCAGGACACTGCAACCGTGTACGTTATGATTCTTGATTCTTAATGAATGTACCTTTTCTTTATGTACACTGAGAGTATTTACACCAAGACAAATTCCTTGTGTGTCCAATCACACTTGGCCAATAAAGAATTCTCTTCTCTTCTCTTCTCTTCTCTTCTCTTCTCTTCTCTTCTCTT